CTCCGGGCGGGTGCCGCGTTCTCGTAACCGGAGAGACGCTGTGGGCAGCACCCAGATGCCTGTGCCGGGGCAGGCGCCTGGCGAGAGGCACTGGTACACCCCGGGGCTTCTGACTCCTCCGTGCCCTTGAAACACGGCGCCGCGCTGGATGTGCCGCGCGGCTCTCGGGGCACAATGGATGCGGTTTGGGTTTTTTTTTTTCCTTTCTTGTCCTTGTAACGCTTTAGTTTCGCGTAGCAAAGATCGCGATTAGGGATGTGTGTTTCCCCTCCGCCTATGCTAGGGTTTGGAGCCTTTCCATTAACAGTTTTGTGATGGAGCGGTGGTGAGACTGAGGAGGAGGAGGAGGGAGGAGGGTGTTGATTCACAGGGAATGGGGAAGCGGCGCGATGAGTTCTCGCTTCTTAAACCTGTTCTTACTTGCACCGCGCTGCTCCGGCTGGCCCCGGCATCCCGAGGTCTCGAAAGGAAGCGGGGGGGGCAGCGGGCAACGTCCGTGATGATGGGAGACGCAAGAGTAGGTGGAGATTTTTCTCTTCTGTTTCTATGGGATACGTCTAGGGTTTCTAGAGCTCCATCTGTGCATAATTTTCAAGCAGGTTGCAGGAATTCGTGTAAGAGTTGTGAAAAATTAGGGGTTGGATGGTGCTTCTTTTTATAAAAGGTATTTGTAGTAGCCAGCTGTTTTTGTGGTGTGAGACTGTGCTAACTTAAGTGTTGCTGTCTTTTTGGTCTCGGAGAGATGGAGGGTTTGCATGGCTTCCAAGAAATTAAGTACAAAGAAGCTGAGTGCTAAAGTGCACGCTGTGTTAATGGGAATACTCTTTAATTTTTTTTTTCCTACTTAAACACACTTCTCACATTAAGTGTCAAGAAGGCATTGCCCTTGGACTCTTTTTATGAGAAATCAAATTCTAGGACCTTTCAAATTCTGTGCAAGGAACGCCTGAAACTGTTGGTCAGGGAATCCTCAGGCAGTTGCAGTTTCCTTCCGCTTTGTGATGAGGAGCCTTTCTAGTGCTTGAATCTTGTTGGGATGTGTGCTGTGCAGGTAGGCTTCACAGAGGTTTCCCTGCACTTAATGTCTTTCATGGTAGTAGCTGAGCAACTGTACATCCAGTACATCTGTAGAGGGGTTATGAAAGGGGTTAAAGCACATCTGGAGTGCACAGATACTTAAAGGCAGTAGTTATCTCCCTTAGTGACATTGTTTTTCCTGGCTTCTTTTCGTTCTCTGAAATGTAATGAAGGTGAACACAAGGGACTCCCGTTCTAATGCTGTTATCTCAAGGCAAACCACAAAAGTATGCAGAAATACAACAGGTTTATTGCAGTTATAGAAGTTTATCATAGTAATGAAACCTTAATGCAAAGCAGACTTCAGTGATGGTAGAAGATGTAATTCTCAAATCATCAAAACTTTCTTGCTTAGTACACATAACACAGTAGATGAACTCTTTATTTATAAATTCCTGTAGAGGAGCTTACATCATTTAGAGACTTGAAGTTAGCTCATAAAAAAACATTGATTGGATATGTTCCAAATATTTGGGACTTATTTCCAGAAATACAAAATGTTAGTGTTTGTTTTGTCTGTGTAAAGCAGGATAAAAATATATTCAAACTAGCTCTGGGCAAGCTCGTCCATTTTCATGCCCAGTGTGTTGTTATTAAGCCATATAAAGATACTGGGTTAGGTCCTAAAGATAGGACAGTCCTGGCTGTGCTCGATGGGGCTAATTGCCCTTTCTGAGCAAGGCTAATTAGTGCAGCCAGCTTCCCATTTTGGAGCTGGTTCAGATATCTCTACAATGCTGCTGTGAAAAGTACAGTGTTAGCATAAATGTACTTCAGTGCTACAGGAAAAAGCAGTGTAGATTAAGGGAACATATGGATTGGCACAACTTAGTGCGGTGCTCGACGCGTAAATCCCGTGTCCCACTCGTTAAAGTGTTCAGGTGATTCCTTATTAATTGACTGAAACCTCCATCCTGTGATCTAAGGCATGGGTTTGTAAAATGTGTATCATTTTCCAAGCTCTAACACAAGTGTTTTAGCAAGAAAGGAGAAAAATTCTGCCCTTAAGGCATCCATGTCATTAGAACTTGAACTTGTTAAGGCTTTAGGCCTTCCTGGCCCTTTGGATGTTAACCAGCACTGGCTTCTTCTGGACGGGGAGCCCCGGCGTGCCCCTTGTGCCTTTCCAGCAGGCTGGGGGGTGAATGGCCTTGCAGCTGTGTGCCCCGCCCCGGTGGTGCTGTGGCAAAGCAGTTCAGTGTTGATAGCTCATAATTTTTCAGTAAACTTTCTCAGACCACGTGTAATTAGGGTAATAACAAATTGTTATTGAAGTGGTGGGGTAGCATCTTAAAACAGTGCTCAAAGAGGATTGAAAGGTCCTCCTGGTGAAGAGAGTTGCTACCTTTAGAAAAGTCTGTGTACGGTTCAGAAGCCCACTTCAAAGCAGACTAAGGGTAGTGGTGTGGAGACAGCTCGGTTTTCCCACCTGTATCCTTCTGTGCTTCCTAAAGGCTGTCCTGGATATAGCTGAAGTGTTTGGAGCCAAAGAGAGCACATTTTATTCTTGGACATCTCTGCTTCCCAGCCAAGGGAGGGAGGAACCATCCATCCCCTTGTGCTGGGTTGCAGTAAACCACAGCAGGAACTCGGGTGAGCTGAGGAGCCTCTGCCTTGATGCTTTGTGCTCGGCGAGGGCCTGTTTGCAAGTGCTGCTGTCTGTGAGCAGAGTCAAATTCCTACATGGAAAAGGTGTGACCTAATAGCATCACCATGTTGTTAACCACAAAATAAATGTAAACCATTTGCACCCTTTCTGAATTGCTATTTTCCTTGCCTTAATTAGTACCAGGAATAATTGGGAACTGTGGTATTAAGGAAGAAGAAAAATGGCAAAAGGCATCTGTGAACGCTGAACTGCCTATTGAAAATGTAGGGCAATGCACTGCCAGTTTGCTGCAGCTAAATTTGGAGAAGGTTTTGCATGTTCCTGATGGTGTTGCAGCAGCAGAAGTTACTAGATAATATGATGCAATTGCATCCCGTGCCCTCATTGTTGCCTTAATGGAGAGGAGGCAGGAAGCAATCTGCTGTGATGACCTTTATGCATTCATTAAACAATTAAACTTGAACTGCATGAAATCTGGGTTGTATCTGTTATTACTACTGAATGGTTTTAGCCAGATCAGCCTCCTTTTGGGGAAAGAGGTCTATTTCAAAACTGTGATACGAAGGTGTGGTGATTGCAACTGCCAGGAAATCCCGATCAAACAAAAAAACTCCCCAAAAAACCCCAGCTGAACAAGTTTCTGAAGGCAGTAATGAGATGACAGATGTTGGCTGGGGACCAGGGTGGTCAGTGCTAAACTGAGAAGATGCAAGCAGCAAAAGGCTTCTCCAGAAGAGCTTCCAAAGCTCCACTGGTGCATGGGAGCCTCTGGCAGACACCTCCCCTTTTGCCTGTGCAGTACAAACCTGGTAGTCCTCGGGCACAGGAGGCGCTCAGCAGTCTGTAGGACTTGGTTGTTTGGCTACCTTGAGCTCTGATGGGTTTTTTATTGTCTTCCAATTATTGCTAATGGTTATTAGAGTGTAGATGTGGTGCTCTCAGACTGCAGGGCTGCCAGGTGAATAAAACCTGACAGGGAAAGTTCAGGTTTTGAAATTGTTACAGACTTCTTTGGTTATAAGCTGTGACCCAGAAGTAACTTAATTCCTCGCTTCATTATACGATCTGTAAGTTTTTTAAGAATTCCTTAAATACAGTTAGAATGAAAACATTTGTAGTCTCTTTCACTTTCTAAACTAATTTACAAAGAAAAAAATAACTAGAATTCCATTGCAAGGTCTGGTGCTTCCTGCAGTAATGCTGTTATATATCATGTGCCTGTTCTGCTGCTTTAATTTTGGTGGCTCTTTTAACATACCATGGAAATATTTTATGATCCCTTTGAAAGCTGAATATATTTTTTTTTCTGTTTTTTACTTAGAGCATGTATATCTTTAGGATCCAAGACCCGGGCCATTGGGAATGCAGCAAAGAGCCAGGTAAATTGATCAAAGATGCTGGTGTTACTTGCCTGATTTGTCTCCTGTTGATCTGTAGTAAGAAAACAAATGTGATAATTTTTTGTTTCAAAGTAAGTTTTCTACAATAAGCTTGCATTTCACACTGACAGTTACTGCTTTAATTGCATATTCTCTGTATAAAAATTGAAACCGTATTTCTGCATTTTTTGTCATTGAGAGTGAAACAAAGCCTTGTTTTTTTCCCCAGTAAAAGATTTTTTTTTTTCTTAGAATAGAGTCCATAATTAAATCTTCAGTGCGGGTGGGGAGGAACACAGCACTTATGTTCTGGAAAATATGAAACTGAAGTTTACAGTGGAAGTTTGAGATAGATACTGGTTGTTGCTTATTATGTGAAACTAATGTGACTTAGTAACGTACTGTCTCAATTTGGAACTTTGAGTTGAAGTAAAATTTATACTCTGTAAAACCACTTACAACCTAGGAAGATCTTCCTCTGGATGGAAAATACGTGAATATTCATAGTAGCCAGTGAGAATTCACAAATTCAGAATAGATTGGGTCTTTTTCTTTCCCTTGGCATCTGTGCATCATGTTGGCATGCTGAGGGCATCCTCCCCTTAGCATCTGGTGTAGGCTGGCCATTTGCCCAGCTGATCTAAAGCTGATGGAGCCCAGTGGAAGGACTGTGAGTAGTTGGTGTATGTGGAGGTTGGATCACTTTCATCCTGAGAAACTCAACACTTGTTATCTGAGCTCAGCCCTGGAACTTTACTAGTGAGAATTTGTCCTGTCCATACTCTTCCCATCTAAGTTGTTTGCTGTTTAGGTTAGTAAACTCAACTAGTTTATCTTGGAGATTACACTGGAATAATATATTTTGATAGCTTAAATACTGTGTTTGTTGGGATTTGTTTGTTCTGGTTTCTTAAAAGCTTATCCTTAAAGTAATTGGGTTAACACACTGAGAGAATAGATGTGTGGAGGATTTATGTTCAGGTGGTATCTGAATTAGAGGAGAACTTCAAAGCAAGTGAAATACATTAATTTGTTGAAGCTTTGTTTAAGATTAAGGTAGGTAATAACCATTTGTTCCTGCAGGCAGACATTGCAGCAGTATAATCTCAAACACTGCATTCTGTGTCAGCAAGCTCCTCTAAAATTAAAAGTACAGTAAAAATCGGTGGCAGCAAGCTAATGGATATTCAAGAGGGCAGTAAATTTAGGGATTTTTAATGGAGACCACAGATGGAAAAAAAATAGATGCTTCTTTCTCTCCCCCAACCCTTTGCTTTCCAGTAAATGTGTGGGGCCTGACACGGGTCTGCAGGCTGAGTTAAGCCCAACGTAACAAGAGTTCCTTTCTGGATGGTCTTCTGTAGTCTGCATGTCATGGGTAATTAAAATATCTTTCCTGCAGATTGTCACAAATGTCAAAAACACCTTACATGGTTTCAAAAAACTGCATGGCAGAGCATTTGATGATCCTTACATACAAGCTGAGAGGGCCAAACTTCCCTATGAACTTCAGAAGATGCCAAATGGCTCCGTAGGAGTAAAGGTGAGTTAGAGCCTTTTGCACAATATCTTTACTGGTGAAGATGAGCCCTTTGGACTGTTGCCACTTAACTTCCTCCTTGAAATGACTTAAGTTTGCCTTAAGAAAACTCTAAATATATTTTTCTTGATCTTGAAGAGAACTGTCTGGTGATAATCAGTACAGTAACATCTGCAAGTTGTGCTCAATTTTTTTTGTATTCTGGATAGTTCTGCAATATTTCTCATTTTCCCTTGTAGTTCATTTGCTTCTTTTATATGTTCAGGAAGATGTAGAGTAAGTACTTGCTGTGTATTACATCCTCATGTCCTCTAAGCAATAGTGTAAAAAAAAGGGATTGTGTTGTCTCCCATACTAAAAATATCAATAAAATATCGCCCCAGAAAGGGTTAGGTTTTGTTCACCTCAATAAAATTGACTGTGTAATAAACCAGCTGTTAACCAAGAGATGCAGAACCCTTTCTTTGTGCAGTGACTTCTGCTCCAGCACTGTACTTTCTTGGAGACGTTTGTTGAGGTTTCTCATCAATTGTATTAGCTTGCTGTAGTCGTATTAGCACCTTTTCACCTTATCTTACCACATCCACCTTCAAATAGGTGGAATTACAGTATGTGATTAATAGTCTCATGAGACTTTTAGGTCTTGCAGACTTGCAGAGACCAAGTTTCAGGAAAGCAAGCTAATGCTCCAAAGATGTAATTCAAACAAGTACTTTATAATTTACTTCCAAACTTCATGGCTGGAAACAGCTGTTCTCAAAGTTCAGGCTTCAGTCTCCAAATGTCTGTCCTCTAGCATTTTATTTTGGGTCAGGAGTGTGCTTCTGAAGTACATCTCCAGTCATCCTCACTTAACACACTTTGCACTGCTTTCTGGTGGAGCTTTATACTGCACAGAGTTTCCTTTGTTCTGTATAACCTGCTCAATCTTGCTAATTGCCAGCGTACAGGTAGCTGTTGCCCATCTTTCTGGGTTTCCCTGCACAGGAGCATTTGGGATTGCTCGGGAGGCGGAGGCCTGTCAGGAGTTCAGGCCCTAGAACCTCCCATGAATTCTGAAGGTTCAGGTGTCTCCCAAGCAGGGCTGGACTGTTAGAATTGCCTGGCCCTTCCCTGCCTCACCTGCCTCAGTGACCCCTGCAGGAAGCAAATGTTCCTTAGGGTTGCTCCAAAACCCTTATTTTTAGGTCATGTTAGGACAAATATAATTCTATGTGTGTTATGCGTTTTCTGGTTTATTTACTTTAAGTTTTAAAAACACAAACAACAAAACCACTATAGCATTGTGACTAGCCCCTGGAGTTAATTCAGGTGTTAAGCTTAAAATTGTTTTGTGGACAGTCTAACTGAAACTATTATAGTTTGGTTTAGGTAGCACAAATCCATAGCATCAATTCATTGAGAGTTATTTGTGTCCAGAGTCTGGTGTTAAACTTGGGTCCCAGTGCTCAAAATTCAAAAAATGTCCAAGCTGCACGTCTTGGAGAAAAGTTGAGATGTGATTTGTTACAGAATTGCAATTCTCTGTTTCAGGTGAGGTACCTAGATGAAGAGAGACAGTTTGCAATTGAACAGATTACAGGAATGTTATTGGCCAAACTTAAAGAGACTTCAGAAAATGCTCTGAAGAAGCCAGTGGCAGACTGTGTGATTTCAGTAAGTTGTGGTGTATTTATTGCATTTCTTTCTGTAGATAACTTCACGTGTAAGCTGGTACCATTTGTGCCATGGTGCAATGCTAAGAGGTACAAGTAGTGGATAGAAATTGTATCACCCCCAAAAAATGGGCCTTTGTTAAAGTTTTTTCCAAATGAGAATGCTTTTGTAAACTTCTTACAAGATGGAAATTTGGTTAAATTAAGATTGTATTTTCAGAATTTCAGTACTTCATGTACTTAAGTAATCCTGATGACTAGTTTGTGTCACAAATGGGAACTGTCCTCTGTTCCAAAGAACCTTCCCAAATTCATGTGAAATTTCCGTGGTGTTATGTAGTTGAACACTGTTGGTTTGCAGTGTAGTTGAGTTGCCTGAACTTTCTGTCCCTGAGGGTCATACTGGCAATTTAAGAAACCCAAACTACCTGCATTTGTTTGAAAAGGCCTTTTATTTGGCTGATTTACTGGAGAGTGTTTCAGCTATTGTCCTCACTCATAGGAGTAGAGGTGTGAGTTCGAAGGAGATTTTGTTCCTGATAAAAAGTCCTAAGTGTCTGCTCTTCAGTGTCTTGTTTAATGCTTCACTTCTGCTCTTAATCTGGTGAGGAGTTTGGACATCAGGATGTGTGGTTGTCCCCTCCCTGTCAGACAGTGACACTGGAAAGTTGTATGCTTGAGCTGTTAGAAACTTGCTTTGATCTTCCTCCTTGCTTCCCTATGGTACACAAAGGCACTTGCAGAGAATGCCTCCCACACAGACCCGGATCCTTGGTGATCACCACAAGGGTAGCTAACGAAATAGGAAGTGAGCATTGTTCTGGGTCTTAGGCTTGGCTGCAGCTGAAGATCCATCAGCTGACAGCAGCCAGTTTCTAAATGGGCTCTGGTTGTGCTTTGGCTGGTGTTGGTGGAATGGAATATTGTCATGCACTCCGAGCTGGCACTGTGGTCAAGGTGGTAACTGAGAAGTGGATATGGGTGCAGTTGTAACAAAGTTCAGCTCTGGTGCTGCTGTAGTGCTTCCACAGTAAATTATTTTGGGGCTATATATGAATATTTATTGTGTTGATTGGGTGCTGCACTAATGATTTCAGAAACTGGTAATGATTTTAAGATTAAAGACTCAAAGAAGAATATGAGAACATTTTTTGGTGGTTTTGGTGTTTACATCTACTTTTGAAATAACTCTGAATTTCACTACATTTTGATCCTATTTTGAAATTGCAATTAAAGTATGCACTAAAATGAATTGCCTAACTGCTTTATTCAAACTGGCTTATTAATCTGAGGTTGGCTTGTAACAGTTCCTTGTGGTATTGGAATTTATAGGGTTGCTTAAAGGTCTGACTTTTTTTAAATCAAAGTCCATAATTCATAATATCCTATTCAATTATGTTCTGGAAACAGGTACCCAGTTTCTTCACTGATGCTGAGAGAAGGTCTGTCATGGCAGCTGCACAGATTGCAGGATTAAATTGTCTGAAGCTGATGAATGAAACTACAGCAGGTAAAGGGCAGCAACTTCTTTTAATACCTATTCAGGCTGTTGGGTCTGTGAGAGTGCTGACGTACTCCAGTTACACAATGAGGAGCTTGGGAGAAAGCTGCCCAGGCTAGTACTGCCCAGTCCAGCCTGGGAACTGGAAATGCAGCAGCTGCTTCAGGGAGGTAGTGCTCGGCTCTTGGAAGACACGAGAGTCTGGGTGTGCTGACTTGAATACAGTGCCACTGGGAAGGAGCTGCTCTGCTTCTGAACTAAAGCTGGTGTCAGTGCTTTGCTCTGTGCTGTACCACAGAGCTGCAGCAGCTCTGCTGGGAAGGCCTGAGCTACCTTCAAAATCTGTTTGTGATCCAGCTGTGGTGTGCAGCTGACCTGAATTCTCAATTGTTCTGTTAGATAATAGTATAGTACAGTACTATGTCTGATAGATCACAGTAAATACATTCTATAACATAGGTGTTTAGTGGGGTTCCTCACTTTTTTCAGCTTACTGCAAGATGAATGTGCATGGAAGTATTAGAAAATACTTTATTGTAAGCTAATATTTATTTGGGGGGAGGTTTTAAAATGTATAATCCAAAGGTTTTTCATTCTTCACTGCTTAATATGTACGCTTTAAAAGCTGCTTCTACATGAACTGAGTTTTCATGGAGCTTTTTCTGGAAGCAAACTTGCTGATCATATTTAGAAGCAACTTGAACTATATGACTTGAAAACACCCAAACTGAATCAAGCAGAAGTCTGTGGGATAATGACAGTTTAAACTTGTGGCAATCCTGTCAGGTGTGACATTTGCACAATAGTTGTTCCTATAAAGTAATTTGTTCACTACCCTCCTCTGGTTTTGGTGAAACTTGGATTATAGAAATGTGTTACACTTCATGGAAAGCAAAGTTGGAATTGTTGAAACTGGTTTCTTTTTTTCTTTATTTTTATTCTATTTGCTCTTAGAAGGTCTCAGGCAACTTCCCAAGTGAGTGCTCTTGAAACCTTAGATTCATTTAAACTGGTCATGTAAAACATTTGTTATTTCTCAGCATGCTCGAACTCTGTGAAGTTGAGCTAAAAAATGGTGAAAGTAAGGCATTTCAGAGGAGAGATACAGGCGGGAAACTTGATCTGTCATTTCACAAATTAAAATGTTAAATTGGCTGCAAGCAGAACTGAAACACAAGGTCATGCTTTAGTAGCATTAAACCTTGACTTCAAGCCAGTTTCCTCGCTTGTCAGTGAAAAATGTGGCTTCAGCTTATTAACTTCCTCTGTGATAAGATGCTTTAAGTGTGAACAATAATTAAGTGGACACAAATTATCAAACTGATAGATCCTGGATCTAACAAAGGAAATTTATGATGGCATGTATCCTACTGATTTTTAGTGAGCACTTTGAAGGTGCACAGCATGTGGTTGATGTTGGAAAGACATGTTGGGTAACACAGAACATCTAGGTGTCAATTTTATGAATGAACATGAGGTGATTTACTAGTATAACAATAAATCAAAACAAAATGAAAATAAGGGGATAACTCACAGTGGTCTAAAACTTGTGACCTTTTTTACCTTTGCATTCTATTTAAGCAGAGTCATGGAAGTGTTTAGAGAGCAAACACAAGTAGGGTCTCTCTCCTGGCTGTGCTTCGCGTGGCTACGGCTGCGCGCGGCCTTCCTTTAACCCGGGGCTGGTGTTTTCCAGTGGCACTGGCCTATGGGATATACAAGCAAGACCTGCCGGCCTTGGAAGAGAAGCCAAGAAATGTGGTCTTCGTAGATATGGGGCATTCTGCATATCAGGTTTCCATCTGTGCTTTTAACAAGGGAAAACTGAAGGTAATCTTTCATGTCCTATATTAAAATCCCACACTCCTGAATTATTGAACAATACTCAAAACACCATTCTGTGGGAAGATTATTTTAAAAAATCTAAATGGCTATAGCAAACACCTTTAATGTTGAACACAGAAACTTTATTTTTTTGGCTATCTCAGCAAATCAATTTTTATAAAATGCAGAAATGAAGCATCCCAGAGTGTGCTTCTAAAAGTGATTGACAATTAAGCATGCTGCAGTTTTTGTGCTATGTTCTAGCACTGGAAAATTTGCATATTTTGGTTGTCTCATAAGTATTGTGGTTGTACAGCTGACTTAAAGGAATTTGAACTCCTTGAATTGCTCTATGATGTTTTATCTTTTTTCTGCCATCCATAACACTTCAAAACCTGAATTCAGTAGGATGTGAAGTAAAACTGAACAGTCTTAAGTACCTGGTTTGGAGCTTTTTGTCTCAGCTGCTGATGGCTGTATGTTTTCATGGACTTAATGTAATCATCTGAAGGCATGTGAATAATGGTAGCAAGTTTTTGTTCTGAGTAGAAGACAAAACTAATAGTATGACAAAATAGCTATCCTGGTCTGCTCATCCTTTCCTGAGCTGGTAAACAGATTAGGGGCTGCAGCATGGTAGGTGGCATAGTATTTTACTTGGAGGGTGCAGAAACTAAATAATTGAGGGGTCATCTTTAGAGGTTGTTCTGTCTGGCAGCTGCGTAGAAGATGGTAAGAAAGCCACAAAGAATTTTCCTGTGTCAAACCTGTTTTTAAAGGTGTTAACTTGTAAAACTAGTTGTCTGCATGAAAGCTATCCCTGTATCTAATTAAATGTTGTCTAGTAACATTTAATCTTTTTTCTTTCACTTCTGTGCAGGTCTTGGCTACTACCTTTGACCCTTTCATAGGTGGTAGGAATTTTGATGAGGCTTTAGTAGATTACTTCTCTGAAGAATTTAGGACAAAATATAAGCTGAATGTAAAAGAGAATCCCCGAGCGCTGTTACGATTGTATCAGGAATGTGAAAAACTAAAGAAGCTTATGAGTGCAAATGCTTCTGACCTTCCACTCAATATTGAGTGCTTCATGAATGATCTTGATGTCTCCAGTAAGATGAACAGGTACGGTGTGTTCCTGTCACTGAAGTGCAGTGTGGTTCTAGGCTGTCTGTAATGTGAAACGCTTCCCTCTCCCTGCAGAGCTCAGTTTGAGCAGCTGTGTGCTGCCCTTCTCTCCAGAGTGGAGCCACCTCTGCGAGCAGCCATGGAGCAAGCTAGTAAGTGGAGTTAATTTAGGTACTACTTTTGGTTCAAGAAATTAACTGCTAATACAGTTTTCCTAGGTCTCTTTAATGATTATCTTTTTGATATTTTTTTGTATTTATTAGAATTGCAAAGCTAAATATTGAAAAGTTAAATGTAAGTTCCATTCATATGCTTGTCCTGTGTGCATGACCCCATTCCTGCCCCATTCAGTGCACAGATCACTCTGCAGCCTTGGTTAATCGACCCTCATTCACCCCGTGTCATGGAAAATGGTGCTCTGAAAGATGATTTTGTTTAAAAACATAGAACAACCAAACAAACACTGATAGAAATACTGATTAATCTTCACTGCAACTGCCTGACCAGCCTGTTCCATATGCAATACATACATGTCCTCACTGACCTGAGAATTTGTCAGTACATTCTTGAAATAATTTTTCTGAAGCATGTGCAAATAACTTTTTAAAAATTGTTGTTGTTGCCTAATGTAGTGTACAGGAGAGAATTAGGCTTCACAGGAAAAGGTTTTACCCCAAATACCAGCATCTCCAAATGGAAAAAAAGGGACGAATTCTGCTTATTTTGTTACTTTTCTAGGAAGGCTAATACAGGAAGAAAGATCAGCTCTGCTGAGCAGCTGTTCAGGTTCAAGGACTGACGGTTGCTTGAAATCACTTTATACGTGTATCTTGAATTCAGAATTAAAGTAATGCTGCAAGCATAGTCTAATATTTATTACATATTTTCCACTAAGGGTTTTGGTTTTCTTTATTGGCAAACAAAATTAAATCAGATCTAAAATGAGGTATATTTGGATTTCATTTTGGCCTTTCCTGGATGGGATGAGATAATGTCCAGCAGTGCAGTGTTGACAAAGAGAACAGGTGTTCCTGCACACCAGAAGGGGGATGCACACGGACAAATGCATTGTAAAAAACAGCTGTCCTCATTGACACTTGGCTTTCTGCATTTGCCTGGGTTATGCAACTAGAATGTGTTCTGGCCTGCAGGAGAGGCGAACTGTGGATAGGTCACATAGAGACAAATCTGGTTTTAAAGATTTTTGTTAGCAGTTGAGTATATTCAGTGCTTGTCACAGCGTCTCGGTAACATGAGTATTCTTCATTTTTTCTTTGTTTTTTTGGTTGTCCAAAGACTGCTTTTTTGATACCTTGATGATAACTGAAGACCATGTGCTCTGTTTTCTAGAACTTCAGCGCGAAGATATCTACAGTATAGAAATAGTAGGTGGGGCTACTAGAATTCCAGCAGTGAAGGAACAGATCTCTAACTTTTTCTGTAAAGAGATAAGCACCACGCTAAACGCTGATGAAGCTGTTGCAAGAGGCTGTGCCTTGCAGGTATGGTTAGTGAAATTAAACCTCAGTACTCTTTCTTCAACCTCATGTACTAATGAAATACAAGTAACCAAAAGCAAAATAATAGCTGAAACATTATGTAGAGTCTTACTTGAGCTTTCAACAGCTGGTGACAGTGACTGTCAGAAATTATGGTATTGCATTGGTTAGTTTGCTGCTGTGTCAGGTTAAAAGGATGCTCTTGTTAGAGGCCTGCTAAATTTGATGACCCAGTTTTAGCACTGTTCCACTTTTGTGTAGTCATCTGGAAGCTTTGCTGGGTATCTACTGAAAATCACTGGGGGAGTTGCATCTGTTGCTATAACTTCAGTTAAGTCTTTCAGCTCAATTTTTACTAAGCATAGGAAGTTTCTGCTAGAAGTTCTGTGATAAGTGACCTCTATGAATTGTAGCAGGTTTTTTTTGTACTTGGCTATTAATTATTGTACTTGCTTTTTATTTGACTACATGGATGTAATAAAACTTCGGTCTTTGTTTTCTAGTGTGCAATTCTTTCCCCAGCTTTTAAAGTGCGTGAATTTTCCATCACGGATGTTGTTCCTTATTCTGTAACGTTAAGATGGAAATCATCGTACGAAGAAGGAACAGGGTAAGTTGTAATTGTAAGGTACTTAGTAACGTGTGTCTCTGTGTATAATAAAGAAAAATTTGTGCTGTGAGAAAGACCAGGCCCCAGACTTGGAAGTTGGCATCCACTTGAATGGCTTTAATTATCTGGTTTTGCATTACACCTCTTGAATTCTGATTGCTGCTTAATAACTGGCAATACACGACACCAATGTTTTATACTTAAATGTAACTTTTAAGAACTCTGACATAGAATGCACAATTCAGCTTTGAAACCTACAGGCCTTCAACTTGCAACTCTGTCATAAACTGACTTAAACTAAATTATTTAGCTGCTTGGTTAGCCTGACTGCTGATTATTAACATACTTTGATTTAGGTTACTCATTACATTATGCTCAGTGATTTAACCTTACTTAATATTTTACTACTTCAGGGAGTGCGAAGTCTTCAGTAAGAATCATGCTGCTCCATTCTCCAAAGTAATTACTTTTCACAAGAAAGAGCCTTTTGACCTGGAAGCTTTCTACACCCATCCACATGAAGTGCCTTATCCTGACTCCAGAATAGGTAAGGCTGTGGGAATGAATTCCCCAAACTCAGTTTCTGCTGGTAACAGGAAAAGTGCCTTTTTTTAAGATGTGTTACTGGCATGTTTCCTAGGTTACAGAAAAGCCTAGGATCTCTAAAAAGGCTCAGCACAGTCTCTTGGTTTAGATGCAGTGTTCAAACAGCATCAACATCTCCTTTTGTTGGTTCCCAAAAAAAAATATTGATTCTGTCTGTCTTGACTATTTCTGAGTGCTTTAAAAAAAAAAACAGGTAAAAAGAGTTCAGTGCTGTATTGTCTGGTTCTTTCAACCTCTATAAAATGGCTAAGGATCTTATGTGCCTGCCAGCCTGGATTTTTCAAGGCGTTGGATCAAAGGAGCTGTTAGCACTAGGCAGTTATTTGTCATACCTTATTCTGTTCATCTGAGAACGTAAAAGACATTTCTGGAACTTAAGCATGAGAAGTACAGCCTGAAGTACTAGATGGTATGAATGTTTCCTGATGGCTAAAACTACCTTACTTGCAGTTACTGGTAGGGGTCTTAAAACTAGTTCACAATTTCATTTACCAATTGTTGAATCAGATGTAAGCTTGGTGCTACCCATTTAGCTGTCTGTGCAAGACGTCCGTTGTCTTTGGGAAAGGACGTTCTCCTTTGTACACAGTCTGCATCATTTACACTCATGTTTCCAGCAAACTGCAAAACAAAGTACTAGCCTCACTGCTTCCCGAGGCCTTGGTAAGCACTGTTGATTCTCCAAAACATGTAGTGCATCTGTTACCAAATTCAAACAATCCTTTAGCTCTGTTCACATTTTGGCTTTTGAGTGAAAAGTTTGAGTTACATGGATGAAAAACTACTTGATGAATCAAATTTATCTGTTGTGATGGTTAGAGGAGGCAGCAGAGAAATAGAACACCTAATAGTGTTATCTTGACTTTTTAATGAAATACAGACAAAGCAAAAACTTGTTGTTTGTTATCAGGCAACTGATAGCTGGGAAACCACGTTTCAGGTTTAGCCACAGTTTACAGCATAGCATTGACAATTAAGTAGGGAGTTGTCAAACAGTTTAAGTTAGATAAAGGTGCTTTTTATATTAACAGCCCTCAAGGAATGTGTTCTAGTTTTTTTTCCTCTTCCACTATTTGGAACAGCAGTTAATACCTTTTTTCCCCAAGGGCGTTTCACTATTCAGAACGTGGGTCCGCAGCACGACGGCGACAACTCCAAAGTGAAGGTCAAAGTGCGCGTCAACATCCACGGGCTGTTCAGCGTGGCGAGCGCCTCCGTCATAGAGAGGCAGAACGTGGAGGGAGATCACACGGATACGCCCATGGACACTGAGTCGTCCAGTAAGAACCAAGGCAGAGATGATGACCTGGTATGTAAACTTGTAATATCTGTGCTCCTTGTAATTCTGACAAGACAGCAAATAACTGGAGATGAAATCATAGTGTATCGCTTTTGACAGTTACTACTTCTCCACCCTTAAACTAGTTCTTCAGTTACGTAATGTGCTGCTTCATATTTATTGTGAAAGTACTGCTGTGGCACTAAAAAAGCAAAAAATAACATAAAACCAGATGCTAAAGAAAAATAACTTTCATTGTTCCTTACCATCTCTCTACTAGTCTTAGCATTATCTAGTGTTGCTGTCAAATGGCAGCATATTCAGTGAGATGTGTTCACAAATGAATTCAAAAGGTTTTTTTCCTCAAGTACTAATTTTCATTGAGTAAAAAAATAGTACTTTTCATTTTTATATATGGAAAATTTCTTCTTTGTAAACATTCTTTCCCTAAGGGCACTTCGTGTACTTCAGCACTGATAGTTCTTATAAACTGGCTTGTAAGCCCATAGGTAAAGTTACTGGAAATGAATGTGCAAGAGCTTTGTCAATAAAACTGAGAAATAAGCAAAGTGAGGTCTTCCATTCTAGTGCAAGGAAGATGAGCTTTCCTGATAGCTGCAGTGCATGGTGACAGTGGTGAGTGGCAGCCAGCACATCAGGCACAGTGGAGCTGAGGACTGGCTGCCAGTGTTGGCCTCCAGCCTGCCTTTTTTGCTTGTGCCATTCTGTAGCCTGGGATTTGGGTTATGTCACAGCTCCCAAGGGAGAGAGATTATAATGTAGGGAACAAGGATAAAAACAGTGGGTGAGCTGCTGCTTCATGTTCGGGCTGTCTCTTTTGAGGTGGCAAAGTGCTCAGCAGCGTGGCCAGTCTCGCAGGCTGTCGAGCTTGCTGGGGGGGCTCCACAGGGAGTAAGGCAGAGAGCAGACGTGGGGCAGCTCTCTCTGGAGGAAGGGGTGAATGCACTTCCTTTTGTTACCTTTTGAAAGTTGTCCTTAGCAGCTTTTCCTGCCGCAGTTGAATGTACTGTGGGAATCTGTGCAAGTGGTTAAACAATTAGCATTATGTAATTGATGTAAGCAGCCACCTAAATACTACCTGAATACTATCCAGGAATATGAGCACGTTTGAAATCACAAACATGATGCAGTTTCTTGTGGACAAGTGTTTTACATCTGATGGTTGTATGCAAGTGAAAAAAGCACGTTTGGCAGCGATGCGGTTGGCGTTGTAGTTTAGTAGGCCTGTGGAGGTGCCCAAGATGAGCATACTGGTAGGACAGTAACCACTTCCATCCTCAGGCTCTCACTTTGCAGTGCTTCCATTCATCTAACACATCTTCTGTTTTACAATGGTGCTTGTCAGCAATTACCTTTCATTACTGAGGATGATACCCTCGACTCTGAGGAGGAGGTTTGTGGTGTATGTATGTGTCATTTCCCCCCTGTAGATTTTCTGTGTAGGCAAAACAGTACCTTCCACTTGTTGCTTTTTCTGTGTGAACAGTAAGAACAGTAAATAAGGAATTTTTTTTTTTTCCTATTCTGAAGCAACAAAACTTCAATTTGGTAAAAGTAGCCTCCTTGTTTTCAATGTTTATTAAAAACGTGCAGAATCAATTAACGTAGCTAAACTGCAACATAGACTCTGGTGCTAGAGTTTAAAATCCTTAAATAACTACTACTTGTATTTTGTGGAACCACCAGTAAATTATTTTACACGCATCTATAGTTTGTGAACCCAGGAATAATCTTAATTGCTTGTAATGGAAGTTACCTTTCAGAGAGAGACTTCTCAGACCTTGGCTACAGCTCATTAGTTATTGATGCTTTGGATGTCCAAATACTGGAGTCATACTGAAAACTTCAGATTGATCCATTACTGTGTTACTAATTTTTTTTTTCTTTTGCATAGATGACAGGGAATTGTATTATTTTAAATCAAGTGATGAGCACCAGTAATTAGTGTTGTCTTTAAAAGCCATAAATTTAGAGAAAGGTGTAAGTGAACTACAGATAAAGCGAAACTCAGTAAATTTTAGGTGGCAGGGAGGGAAGACAGTTGGTCCTGTGCTCCAAGATGCTACTACAGATAATTTCTGTGGGCTTGTGAGAGGGAGACAATTACAGTAACCAAATTACTTCTGCTTTGGATTACGAATTTTAAAGTTGATGTGAAAAATGGTTGGAGGTCAAAGTTCTGGCTGTTCCATAGAGAACCTGTTATTGCCTGTGTTGGTGGTGTGTTGCTAGAATGTTCTTCGCATACATTTTACATGTGCTTCTAATTTAAAACGAGTATTCATAAGACTTAGTGTACTTCTATAATGGGGACAGACAGCAACATGGTAATTTTTCAAGGGGAGCAGGCAGAATAGAATTTTCATGTAATTTGAGAAAGAGATGAATACAAGTACTATATCAAACTGCCTGTTTAAACATGGTGAATCAAAAATTCTTAAGGTGGCTTCTTAAGGGCATCTGTTGTCTGTGATCTATTGTAATTGATGTCAGTCTTAAGTGGTAGAGCAAACCTTTGCATTCAGTTCTGTAACTCTTTTTCTAGGATAAAATGCAGGTTGATCAAGATGAAGGTATTCAGAGAAGTCAAGCTGAACAACAGAACCAAGCAGATGAGGAAACTGAAAATGCAGGAACTGAAACAAAAGTTTGTATTCAGTATTGATAAGGAAATGTCATGTTGCTTTCATCTTAGACTTTTTTTTGGTCTGGTATTCTGAAAGTCATTAATCTTGCTAGTTGAAAGACATGGGACTGTTTACAGTACAGCTATACTGGAGTGGTTAAGTTAGAAATCCTACTTTAGCACTTTCATTTTCAGCATAGTATATGATAAAAACATTGAAGTAAGTTTCTGTTACATAACATAGTTTTGTGGTAAAGGTAAAATGTAGGGAAACTTAGGAAATGTTATGAAGAAGAATATGCAGTGCCTTTTGAACAGCTTTTCTCAACAGCTCTTTACATTACCTTTAAAGAGATAAAATTCCACCAGCTTGGTTGAAAACTAAGGTAGTGGCAATTTTCAAGAGCAGAGGAGTAATCAGGTGCTTATTTTCTATGTGATTCAGTTGTTGCTATTTTACTATGTCTCTCTTCTTTGAGCATGAATGTAGTGACATTTCTATTTTTGAAAGTTTCATAATAGTGCAAATCCTTTTATAGGCTGCTTCTGGAGACAAACAAGATCATCCAGCCCAGCCAAAGGCTAAAGCAAAAGTTAAGAGTATTGACCTACCTATACAGGCAAGCCTCTATAGACAACTGGGACAAGATATTATCAATTGCTATATAGAAAATGAGGTAAGCAGCAGGAACAGAAGGCCACTCAAGTTAATGTCACTGTAAATAATTATCCAGAAAGGATTTGCAACCATAAACTTGATGTCTAATTAAGAATTCTTTGGGGGTTGTCCTTAACTGTAAGGGGTTGTGCTTTGCTGGGTTTTTTGGCAAAAGTAATTGGTTTCACTGGACTGAACCATCGGGATGTCTGAGTTTGAGCTATTAGCCTGTTGTCCTATTTTTTGTAGGACAAAATGATTCTTGGTGACTTCCAAACCAGAGTCAAGGCTTGGTGTTTACTTCTGGTCATGTCTGTGGCAGTCAGATGGTTATTGGTATCTGATCTGTTTACACAGAAGTACTTGACAAACAGCTTTCAAGTATGAAATCGTTTTTCTCCTGTTCCAGTTGTGCCTGCAGTGGAAATGATGTATGCAGAGGTGAAAATTCTAATTGGTAGTTGTGAATTAGCAAGCTGCTGCAGAGTTCTGGGCTACAGTTTTCACAGAGGAATTGTTAAGCCTGACACTGGATATGCTTTTGGTGTTAAATGATCTTTGGAAAGATGATGATGCAAGACAAGCTTGAGAAAGAAAGAAACGATGCTAAGAATGCTGTTGAAGAATATGTATATGACTTCAGAGACAAACTGTGTGGAGTCTTCGAGAAATTCATCACTGAAGAAGTAAGACTTGCCTGCCTACGTGTTGCAGCTGTTGGAAAACACTCCTTTGTACTTAAAAGTTTTGCGTGTGGGTTATGTGGAGGTTGCAGGGGTCTCTTGGACTTGTTCTGGAACATGAAATGGATTAACTTCACAGAAGCGAAGTTCAAACTACACTTTGACCTGGCATCTGACATGCCAGTGTGCTGAGTTCAGTATTGTCTGAGGAGTTTCTCAGGGGCAAGGGAAGAATCTGGATGCAGGCAGAAAGTGGTGAGGGTAGGAAAGCAGGGCAGAACACCATGAGCTCCTAAGTGACCTGAGTCAGTAGGAATAACGTGAAAATGAGCAGAAATTGAGTGCCCGTGGCTCTGTTTTATTTTCTAATTTAACTCAGAAACATGATTCTTCCCCCACTTAAAGTATTCTGAACTTATTATGCTGTTGAAGTCCAAATAAAAGGTCATGAAGAAAGCTGTATACCGGACTTCTGCAAAAGCAGCACTGAAAGAATGCTTGTCCTAGAACTGCTTCTCTGTAACAGCTGTCTAAAGAAAAGCAGCTGGTACACAAGCAGCCAGTTGTTGAAACAACCAGTGCCCAGCAGCAGCAGTTGTAAGGTCTGCTCTCAGGTTACCTGGTATTCAACCAAGAGACACAGTACAGGTGCCCTTCCAGTGTAAACTTGAGGGTGTGAGGCTGCCTTTCCCATACATATGTCAAAAGAATCTTAGTTAGATCAATAAGATCCTTTATTTACAAATAACTAAAGATAAAATTTTTTTTGTATAGCCAGTAGAGTGCAATTAAAACAGTTTTAACTTCAGTTATACATAGAGCTGTCCAGATTCCTGTTCTTCTATCCTGCTATCAGAGACCCTGAGAAGCAGAACTTCCCCTGTGAAGATAGTAGACAGGAGTGTGAGAGGTGCGTGTGCTTCCTTACAAAACCAGTCCTGAAGCTGTGGAACTTTGAGCTTCACCTGTAAATCAGATTAGTAGAGCTGTCCTGCCTCGCTTATCATTCTGTAACATCCTAGCTTTGAAGTCTGTTAGTTAATGTTCTCCTTCACTATTATGTTCAATGTTTTAAATGGACGAGTCTTTGTTAAATAAGGAGGTTTCTTTTGTGTGCTGGCAGGAGAAGTCTCATTTGTCATGCTCCTTTCTGAACTAGTGTGTCCCTAACTTGTTTTACAGGATTCAAACAAGCTGACCTTGATGTTGGAGGACACAGAAAACTGGCTTTATGAGGATGGAGAGGACCAGCCAAAACAAGTATACATGGACAAGCTTCAGGAATTAAGAGTAAGGGTTTAACATTCCAGAAAAACTGGGTTTGTTTGGTGGGGGCATTATATAAAATATATATGCCTAAGTAAGCAAAGATATATATTTTTTGGTTTAGTGAGGGATACATGTATGCATATCTCTATGAGTTTTGTAAATCCATGAAGTTTTAAATGTCAATGTTCAGGTGGTATCTGGATGTAGTTATGAACTGAGCAGAACATTTACAAATGGGAATACAATTTGTTTTGGTGTCAGTAGTGCCCCTAATTGGAAAAGAGTCAAAATGAGGGGGACTGTCATTAGTGACAACAGAAGTAGTTGCTGTGGAATTTAATGTCAGTCTTGTTACAGTCTGAAAGAGGCTTTTGAGTGGCTTGCCTGCTCTCCTGGGTATGCAGAATTGCACTCCAGAACAGATGCTCTGGTTTTCCTGTTTGTAGTGGCCTTCAGTAGCTGTACCATAAGGCTTAGGTTTTGGTTTTAATATCTAGTGATAAAGGCTAAAGAATGCTTTAGCAGCAGCATCATTTGATTTGTAATGAGAACAACCTAAAGCACTTCCAACTTTAATCTCATGGGGAAAATGTGAATTCTGGTGAATGACTGAACTGTTCTGCAGTAAGTTTGTCTCCAGTGCTTGGGCTCCAGCTGTTTTCTCTCAAGTCAGATACCCTTTGGGGAAAGGTAACTGATGCAAACAGCAGCGTATGTCCTGGCAACTGCCCTTTTGCCTGGACACCAGTGTTCAAGAGAAGGAAAAAACAGACGGTGGATAAAACCGGAAGTTTTCAGATTAACTGCTTAAAACCACCCATGTAAATCCTGTCATGTTTCTCTTCCAAATGCTCTTTTTTTTCTTTGGTAAAAACAACCTGCAAAATACTAAACCTAATAAGAACAGGCCTTACTCCTGTGTTTAAACTTCTGGGTATCTGTGGTGTTGTTGCACTAAAGCAAAATGCTTGAGTGGGTGAGAACAGCTGTTAAAGGCAGCCTTCCTTCCAATGCCACCTTTTATTCTTGGACCAGACTAAAGTAAACTTGTATTTTTTTCTAAAGAATTTGTGCTTATGTTCCCAGAAATTTGGACAGCCTATTCAGGAGAGATACATGGAACACGAAGAGAGACCAAAAGCTTTAAATGACCTTGGAAAGAAGATTCAGCTCCTTATGAAATCAGTAGAAGCATACAAAAATAAGGTAGCGAATTATTTATGGAATGAAGTATTAGTCGTGTTTCAGTCTGGCTGTAGAGTTTTTTGAGTTGAAAAATAAATCTTATAGGATTACCTGTTAAGCTGCTTTAAAATGGCTGCTGTCCTTTTGCTCCTGAGAACTCAAAAAACTGTTTAGGACTACTAGCAAAAAAGGTTTCTTGAGGAGAACATTAATGTAGTCCTGTTGTTTTGTGATGACTTGTACCAGTTTAACTCAAGCTATGGCTGCCAGCATTGTTCCTATAACTGACAGTACCACCTGTTTGGGCTAGTTAAGCTACAGTAAATCTCAGGTGCTTTTTTTTTGCAGTATCATTACTAACCTGTGCTTCAGCAGTGTGCAGTTAAGAACAAAATTTCAAATGTCTGAAAACAATGTCCTGTCTGTTTTGTTTTACAGCCATTCTTCACACTGCCTGTTAAAAACTATCAGGTTGTATCAGTGTTAGGTTATTTTGCTATGTGTCTGTGGAATGCTTGTTATTAAGAAGCATATGTTAATTAATGATATAAATATTCCTCTCCTTAGGATGAAAAATATGATCACCTAGATCCTGCTGAGATGGAAAAAGTTGAAAAATACATAAACGAGGCTATGAATTGGTTGAACAGCAAAATGAATGCCCAAAACAAATTAAGTCTAACTCAGGATCCAGTTGTCAAAGTGGCAGAAATACTGACCAAATCAAAGGTAAAAAAAAAATCATTGTACATGTTGCATTCTAAGTTTTTCTTCAGCAAGATTTTGGCCTCTGTCAAGCTAGACTAGTACACCTGCAGAGACTTTAAATCTGTGAAAAGATCCATGCAGAGGGAGCAGCAGTTTTACTATATCCAGTTCTGGCTCTTGATTTGCAGCAGTACCTGTGAAAAAAACCTTTTTAAAATACCCTGAGTTCCAGCACCAGGCATGCTAGAAAATGGATTGTTGTGCAGGATTTTAACAGATTGGAAGCTCTGTAGTTAGTGAAAGGTTTTATTTTAAGTTTCTAGACTTGATAGAATTGAAAAGCCTAGTCCTTGAAAATGAAAGTCCAGGTCATTGTGGACCTGAAGCAAACGTGAGACACACTAGTTTAATGCAGATGCTGTGCCACCAAGTGAACTTGCTCTCTCCCTTGTGTTACAACCAGGAGCTGGATGGCTTCTGTAATCCCATCCTGTACAAGCCCAAGCCGAAGGTGGAGCCTCCCAGTGACGGGCAGTCGAAAGCCAACGGGGAACACAACGGGCCAGTGAACGGGCAGAGCGGCACGGAAACAAAACCTGACCCAGCCAGGGACAGTCCTCAGCAGAACAAACCACCCGGGGAAATGGAAGTGGACTAAACCTTGCATTTCTTTTAATCAAAATAGTGCAAGTAACCACAGGGTCCATTCTTTGTCTGGTACACCCCTCAGATGTTCAGTTATTCTAAGCCAACCTTCTGTCATTTGTTGCTGAGTAGTTTTGAAAGTGTTTTATATTAAGTACACCTCTAATGTTCATTTCCACTGATGCTGCTTATGTGGAGCTTTAGCCAAATGTAGATTGTATAAGTCAGTTTAAGCTTTCCCAATATATTTTATATCAAACATACAGAATTGATATATAAACGGCAACAATCTACCTTATTTAAAGCTTTTATTGTGGATAAACCTCAGCTCCTTTATTCAGGAAAGGATACTGTATTGCACTACTGATGCTCAAGTGTAGATCTAATTGCATCTTTATTTTGGAAAAATATTGGAATTGAAGTGGCAAAACCAGTCACTTGAAGCACTGACCTTTTCTAGTTATTGTATTGTTATAATTTAAATATTAAAATAGAGGTTAGTTGGCATACTAGTCCATCTTGTTGATGTACCATTGAGAGTTGTATGGTCTTGATCATATAAACAGAAAAATACAAGCTAAAACATTTTTGTTTCCTGTACCACTAACTCTCTTAGCTGCAGCACTCTGGGCACAATGCTCTGCCACATGCTGAGCCCCAGCATGGGGCCTTGGTACACGTGGCCCTGTGTAACGTGGTGTGCTTGGGGTAGGATGATGCTGATGGTAGCAGTAGGAAGGGGTGGAATACCCAAGGACCACTGCATAGCTTTATTTCTGCTGCTTTGGGTTTGAGTGAGATTGAGTCTTGATCACGTACTGCAATTGGGAGGGGAAACAGCAGAAATTGTGCCGTGTGAGCTGGGTATTAGCACCCTGATTTTGAGGTTGCCTAAATGCTGTTTGTTGCAAACTTGAAAGAAATACTGAGAGCTTATTTAAGCCTTGGTACTAAGCATATGAGCTTTTTGGTCAAGCATCTAAGCAAAAGAGCTGACAAAGGGGATATTGCTACCCCAAAGAGGGAATCTACTTGATGAACTTGCGTAGCTTACCAATTATCTTTGGTCGTTTACTTGATCTAATAGAAGTGTCTGTAATGTCTTACACAAACAGTCACTGTTTCCTTTGATACATCTCAGACACATCTTGGACCTTGCCATGGTCCAATGTATGTTCATAACTGAATGCATCTGTCAGTCACTGAGGTACTGTACCACTTGCTAGAGCAAGTAAGTTTGCTTTTGACTTTAAACAACTATTACCAGAACAGGAAAAGTCGCTTCTTAGGCGAGTCTGCTTAAGAGACTTGAGAAGAGCTGCAGTGTAACAGTGACTTGAGCTCCACTGAAGTGCTGAGGTGTTAACCAGGCATTCCCGCAGCAGCACTCCTGTGCAAGCTTGCTGCTGTGTAACGAAGTGAAGAAGTCATGCTTTTGTTTGGGGCTTTGGCAGCCATTTCTTCTCCAGCTGTGCCCTTTGTGTTCCACTGCTGTTCATGCTCCAGAATAGTCTGTGACCCAAGCTAGAGTAGGTGGGGGTGAACTATAATATCCAACATCTTCATAGGAAAAGGAAACGTCATTTGCAGCTGTAGAGAAACCTGCTAAACTAGTTAAAGTGCTAGAATTGTATCTTTGACTGACATCAAGTGACTGAGATGCACATGCTTTGCTCTACTGTTCCTCCTCTGCACAATCAGTTGTGGATGGTCTGGCACCTTGAGTTTACATATTTAAATTCCCTGAACAAAAACTGAGGGACCTTGAAGAGAGCTGCATTTGCTCTGCAACCTCAGTCTTGAACTCTGCCGCTGCAGTCACACATCTTTGGCACTGAGGGAGTGACTGTACCTCAGTGTCAGTTGTCCTACGTTAAGTCAGTACATGACTGAGCTAGCTTTGGTCCTGTGGGCTTGTAACATCCTGAAGGGCTTTACCACAGGCATTGGTGTCCTAAAACTGAGACATGCATTTGTCTAGGAGACTTCCTGATACCTGGTAGAAGAGCTCAAACAGTGGAAATGTCCAGTGTAGTAAGCTCTCCAGTAGCTATAAGGTCATGTGTAAGAATCATCTGCTTATGGTGGTCAGATGCTTAATACTGTGTTAGAAATATTTGAGGCAATTCTTATTCATACCAGCCATAAAGGCTGGAATAATTCTACAGCAAGCTTAAAAGCAGATAAGGTTAAGACAAGAAATTGTAGGAAGGTTTTCTTACTAGAACATGGTTGTAATCTTTTTTTTCTGTGCATCTACTGTGTCTCTACATCCCTGGTGAAGAACAACACTGTACCCACAGAGTGCCCATAGCAACTGATTGCTGATGTAAATGTTAAAAATCCCATTTGAAAGGGTTAGACTGTGCTTTCCATAGCAAGCTTCACATTAACATGCAAGCTTAGGGCTTGTTAATGTGTAATCTGTTTCTGCTACAAAAAGCAAGTTTCACCAGGATGCAGACTTAAGGTTCTCCTGTACTTACATAAGCTATACACAACTTGGAGGTGAGGTTTTGTGCACTGGACTCAAGAAGCCAGTTGTCCTGTGGCTACCCTGACAGCACCAGAATGTGTATCCTGCAACATAAAATGACAAGTTTTGTTAAGGAGCTGACAGTAGTAGTCTGCTCTGCATCCTGTGTATTTTAGAAGTGGGTACAGGTGGTGAATCTTACTTGAGACATTGAGGGCAAGATGCATTTCTAATATTTGACAAAGTTCCCTCCATCCCACAAAAAGAAAACAGGAAGCAACACCATCTTTGTAAAGGTAGTAAAGGGTTGGGGTTTTTAAAGTTTTTTTGTTAATCACAGTCCACAACTTCATGCAAGTTTAGGTACAAAACAGCATAAAAACTTGCTTTCCTTTTACCAGTACCACCTTTCTTCTTTCCTTTAAATGTTCTTGAACATTAGAAGGCTTGTTCAAGAAATGGCTTTCAATTTAAGTTGCTTTACTAAACTAAGTTGCCACTAGCTGTTTTACAACTTTGTGGGTTTTTTTCCCCACAGCTTTTATTATAGTAGTTTAAACCTCAGAATTTTCTTTGAACTTCATTGAAATGTAATATAAACAGGTTTTTAATAATCCCTTTAAACTTTTATATTTGTCTTTCTTTAACCTTATAAGGATGGTACATCACAAAATAACCCAGTACAGCTGCCTGCCTTGTTTGGTTTGAATTTGAATGTGTTTTAATTGGAATTTGAAGAATTCCTCCCTTCTTTGCTGCTGGCAGTGTCCTTCCTTTAATATTTAAATACTGCCTTTGGGGCATGCTTGCAAAACTTCCAGTAGGCAGTTGGGTCTGATATCCTCCGGGTCATTCAGGTGCAGCAGCTAACCTGTACTACCACTCAGCTCCTGGAGAAGCAGCACAGCTCCAGGACAGGCCCGTGCCCACAGCAGTCTCTGTGCTGCTGCCGTGCACAGGAGGAGGATTTTGGGTCTTCTGCTGAAAAGTGAAATCTGCTACTCTAAAGCATCCATGCTCTCTGCTGATCAGATTCCTTTAGATCTTCAGCATTTGAAGTTATTTACCATTGTTTTGAAACATCATAATGTGTTGAACTCCAGTCTGCTTTATATTCTTCCTGTTACTCACTGTTCTCAGTCCACCTGTACGTGGATTTTTTTTCCCTTGTAAGGATTATGTTCAAGTGTAATTTCAGGAAATGGACAAGTACCTGGCAGGAGACTTGCCTTCCAAAGTATTTTTCTGACACTTGTGTGAGGACTTTACAGCCTTAACAAACCTTGGAATCTTCACACTCCTCAGTGCTCTGGTTCTCCATGCCTTTCAGTTAACAGACACTAGCTTTCAAAACATGAACCCGTTTTACAGACACTGCCCTTGCTGCCTCAAAGCACCAACCCAGCTGCTGTAGGGCAAGAAGCTAAATTCAGTTCCATAGAACTAGTGTTATCATGAACCTCATTCCTCACAACAGGGATTTCATTTCTGTGTTGCCCCACCGTAATACTCTGATATCCTGACTTCTGTGAACCCTTCTAAACCCGCAGCCCAGATGCCCAAACTTCAGTTGTGGTCCGTGTGTTCTAAGGATGCTTACGTGAGTTACCACTACCTGTGAGCTTTCTTTAACTGCCTGGAAAAACATTATGTTGCCTCTTGCACTTTTTTGTGGTGTTCTAAATTTTCTAGCCATTCGGGCACCAGAAGACACAAGCTCTCTGTCAAAAGATGTAATAAAACCATGTTGCTTAACAAAATGCAGTTAGTTAATGCCTCATAAATTTTCATTTCAACACGTAAGATAACATCTGGAGTTCACAGACAAACTCTTAGTAGCTAGAGAAAGGTGTGGCTGACTCCTAGATCAATTCTTAGTTCTCCACAGATGAAATCTGAGGACTTCAAGCATTTATTGCATACGTAAATAACAGTGAAAACAACAAAATGTGTCTATTGGCACTGCAAAATACTAAACCAGGTGTGTGCTCTTGTGATGTACCTGTACAGACATTGAACCCTGGTTTCTGTCTTTCCTGGCCAGAAGGAAAGGCATCAAGCATGAAAAGCAGGAATCACATGATCTCTGAAGAATGATTTTAAACGACAATTCAGTTCAGAGCCTGTACCCACTGGCCACCTCTACAGAGCGCTGAAATGGTTTAATTAATAAAAAAAGGTGGTAGTCCCTGAATGTTGCGTAGTTGGAAAAGTTTGTTTACATAGCCTAAACATATCTCCACAGGATGGGGGGAGGGAAGGAATGGGAGTGTTAGAATTTAAAGCTGTGTTTTAAGTATGCAAAATGTTTACTATGTATGTAAATGGGACTCCTATTAGTGACAGATCATGTGCAAATTGACAATACTTCAATTTATTTTTGAATGGCAATACAGATTGTCAAGGTTGTGTATAATTATAATAAATATATAAACTGCTACTTGAACCATAAATGACCACCCAAGACCTCATTTTTACATCAGTGCTTTTTACAGAAGCCTTGCCCGATGTCATGGATTGACATGGACAATGTGTGTTTGTCCAAAAGACCACAGGTAAGAAATGGGCATTTTTGGTGGCTTACCCTGTCCCACTTGCTTAGTCAGGTGTGGTTTCATGCTCCTCTGTCCCAGTCAGCTGCAGATTCTTCAACTTACCAGCTCCACCAGAGGAACTACCTGTAAACACTGTGACTGTGAACTCCACCTGCTGCAGCTCAAACACAGGAACTGCTTTGCCTCTGGGGAACTCCAGTCAAGTTCACATCCACAGTCACATTTATACATTTGGATGAGCACAAATTGCCAAAATTTCAAGTAATTCATCTCTCACAAATGACTTACTGCAACCTACAAACAAGTTCAAAGTATTTTCCTGCATCTTGAACCGTGTGGGGAGGTTTGGCTTTGGGCATTGCTGGCTCTCTGAACAGATCCTGGAGTGCAGCAGTTCATGGGCTTGTCCAAGAGTTCTTCCCTGTCTCAGCAGAGCAATGAGAATCCCTCCATCCTCCACCAGTGTGCAGGGACTG